AGAAAATCAAAATTCCGAAGGCCGTATGGCTCCGACCAAGATTCGAGAAGAAAATTCAAGAAAGAAATTCAAAAAGAGACACAGAAATTCCCGCGTGATGTCTGCGCACCCAAAAGTCCGACAAACCAAAATTGAAAGAAGAAAAACGAAAAAAAAGAAGGGACGTCAATGTTTATTAATCGCGCACTCGGCGCGCACTCCGCATCCGTCCAAGTTTCGACCCTTTTTCCTCGTGTATTCCCGAATTGTCCCCAACTGTCATCACGGGCTCGTGCGAGAACGAAGAAACAACAAAAAAGCAAGGACACACATGCAATTTTTCATCAACCCGTTTATACGATGTGGGACCCCGCTTAGCACTTTGCGCCGAAAATCGCGCATTACAGAAGCTAGTTCGTCACAACGCCCCCTTCGTCAAACTTGGAAGACGGCCTCCCCATTTTGCGTGTCCACATTTGAGCTCGAAAATGACTGCACGTGTCTCCGTAAGAGGGGAAGATACGGTGGATGCTAAAGCTGGCCCTGTTTGGCACGTCCACATTTGAGCGAGAAAATGATTGCACCTGCCGCGATAATAGGGGAAGATACGGTGGCCCAGTGTTCCCATTTTCCCACGTCATCATTTAAGCAGGTAAACAGACTGCACCTACCGCAATAAGAGGGGAAGATTAATGCGCATTGAATGTGGCATTGTTTTGCACACTGCCACCTTTGAGCATGGGTCGAGGCATAGAAGTCTCCTTCACGGAAGAGTCTGTTGTGGCAGTGTGTAATCCCCTGGAGCTCAAGGCAGGTTCCAAATGCATTGGTTGTTCATCGCTGGTACAGTAGTGTGTTCTGTGAGGGCCTCACCTATGGGCACTGGGATGTCGTGGTGGCGAGGCCTGTGATACGCAACCTCACGCCCCCTCGCGGCTTCCTGTACGGGGTCACTGATCAGAGTTTTAGGAGGGGCGTGGCCGAGGATTTTTTGCCGTAAGGGTTAAGTCTCCCGGACGGAACGGGAGGCCCTCGTTTCGTGTCAGAGGGTTTCCCCGGAGTCAAACTGTCGTCGCGGAGTCCCGTGACGGTCGGATCACTCCGAAACGATAAAATCAAAAAGTTTTCCGTGAAAATGACCTGTCTTCGTGCATCGGGACGAAAAAGGGCATCAAGGGGAGAGGGCCATGGCGGCGGAAAACAAAACTTCGGTCGTCAGGGGTTTGGGGGATAGGTGGTGGGTTTGAGGCCTTCAGGCCTCGTCATCGGCCTCACAGAGTGGCCGAACCCTTGATCTTTGCCATGGAGGTGGTTGGTTCGAGGCCTTCAAGCCTCGGCGTCGGACTCACAGAGTCCGCGCGAAAATTTCGGGGAGGGTAAGGTGGTGGGAGGACTCGCCGGCGTCTGAATTCGAAATTGCGCGGACAGCGCCCCCGCACTACGGGAAATCTCGGGGAAACGTGTCGCTCCCTCGTAACCCAGGACCAGCCGTCGCCAAGAACACGAGTCCCCCTGGCGACACCAGCGACAATCAAACTGCGGCCGCCACGCGGCGTGAGCGGCTGACCAGGGCAACACTGTCAGACCCGTAAAAGCCAGTATTAGAGTCGGGGAATCAAAACGGTCAATCAAAACAAACCCATTCCCCCTTATCTCACAAGCTCGAGGCGGGTCTTGCCAACACACTTGCTCCGTCCGCCTCAGCGCGCGCCGTACGTCCGCATTGCAATAGACGCTGTCGTCATCTGCGATGGGGAAGGTCGGCAGCGAGATGAGACGATCGGAGGTACGTGATGAACACGAGCAAGGTCCCGTGTTGCCGGTCATCTGAACCAACACCGAATCCATACAACAATCGTCGCAACTCTTCTTTCTCTAAGGTGGGTGCGTCGAGGGAAGACGACGAAGTCTAAGCTCTCTCCCCTTTGCGGGGGCGTCGAGCGTCCGCGCCGACGCAAGCGGTTGACATCACCGGTACGGGGGCGAGAAGCTAAAAAAATGATGTCTATCAGTTCGAACAGGGAAGCAATCGAGAGAGAGAGAGAGAGAGAGTGAGTTATGCCGAGAACGCGCTCGAGCGCAGGAAAGACCACTGAGGGGAGGGGAACAACCGGATCAACACACTCGTACTCCCAAGCGGACTTTCCCCCAGTTCAGTTTCCCCATTCCCGCCTGGAAGAGTACATACACACATACATACAGGCAATCAACAACTTTGACAGGACATCTAATCATCCATGGACCTCCGACATCACATGAGCACCACCAGCTCCCGTCACTCGGGGCTTCACACACACGACATGCATAGACAAAGCAGCAATGGATATAGAAGTGAGTCCTTCTTGTACACAAAAATTTCAATTAACTGCCGCCCCCAGGCGCAGCCTTCAAAAATCCCCTAGACCACCGACTATCATAGCCACAAGGCCCTGCCGTGGCCGGCGTCCAATCCCCACCACTGCTCAGTCCCTCCGACTGCTTCGCCCCCAAGACTACCGCGGGTCCACCCCGCGTCATCACTCCGCCCGTCCTTGGGCTCGTCGAGCCTGTTCGAGGCCGCGGACTCTCGCGCATAGCTCGCGCAGCATTGCAGCCGAGATCAAACAGAGAGAGAGGAGAGGGTTGCGCAAATTTATAGCGTGGGAGGTGGCGGGATATCAGCAAGAGGTGCGGGCAACGCAGGTTGTAGATGAGCAGGACAGGAGGAAGGTGGGGAGTTAGAGGGTTCGACCCGCAGGATGGCATGGTCCTACGTGATTGGGGTGTCCGTTCAAGTGGCGCGCGGTTTCCCGCTCTCCACATTGATCGAGCATCCCAACTACGCGGCCAATCACATCGAGGGGTAAGGATCAAGTTGGGCGGAGGGGAAGACGAAGAGTCCGGTATGGGGAAAATGCGCGCAGCAAGGAGGGAAGATGGCGCGAGGATGCAAAGCAAGGAACAGGGATACGAGACGCGCGAAGAAATCGGAGCTTGGGCGCGCACGCGCAAAAATTCAAAAGTCCCAACCACACCCGTTTCTTGGTTTTCATACCGCGGCCTCTATTCGCCCGCGGAAGTTATGAACCAAACAAAAGGAAAAAGTCGTTTCAAAAAGAAAACAAAAGCACAAAGAAAGAAAACCTCCTTTATCCACGTCCGTTCTTCAGGGTTTCCGCGGGATTTTTCCTCAGGGATACGGCAAGCCGCGCGGTACGGATCTGAGCTTATCACATCTGTGATACGTAGGGGGTTCCGAAAGATTAGCAGTCTCCCGACTGCGGATGTCATCATATGTTGGATGATCGGGCGCCTCTTCATCGTCAGCTGGCCTGATAATCTTCCTAATCTACGTGGATGCGTCCTGCATCCTCCATCGCCTCCTCCCATAGTATACATTCGATCGGGCGGCCCCTTCATCGTCTGCTGGCCCGATTGGTAAGTAAATATATATATATATATATATATATATATATATATATACATATATTTATATATATATATATATATATATATATATATATATATATATATATATTTTTTTTTTTTTTTTTTTTTTTTTTTTTTAATTATATACAGTGCATACCATCGCGCGAACTTTGGAGATAGGAGAAGAAGGCGATAAAGAGAAGGAGAAGGAGAGAAAATGGGAAAGGTGGACGGGGGTGATCATAGGAAGTGATCTATGTCGGGATTGAGAGGGGGCGGAATAGGCAGAAGAAAGGCGGCCATTGCCGCGGGAGTCGTCGGCGCATCTTCCTGATCAAAGTGGTGCTGCACGAAGGAGGGATAGAGGAAAGCCCCCGGCACATGAGACAGGACACGGGGCGCCAGATCCGCCACCGCTCGCACCACCCGCTTGCGCACCGATCGGGGCCCCGGGCCCGTCATCACCACATGAGTCTCGGTGTAAGGCCGCCGCTCCCGCTTCTGCGCCGCGAAGACCAGGAAGTGGTACATCACATTGGGACGCTGCCCGGTCTCGTAGATGAGCGTCCCAGCCAATCGCGCCGCAATACACCCTTGAAAAGGGCGTGTCAGATATGGCTTCCACGCCGGATCAGGGCGCGGCGCCCCCGCGATGGCCTCGAGCCTGATGGTGGCGGGCTCCACCATGAAGTCCACCTCTGTCGGATGGACCGTCCGGCTCGGAGGAACTACTAATGTCAATGACCGGGGCACCCCGGGGTGGCTGGCGGGAACGGAGAGGTCCCGCGAGGACGGGGGGTCTGGATATCCGATCCGGTAATCCCATTCGGCTTCCTCCTCCGGCCGCTGCTGCTGATGATGGCCCGGCTCCATCAAGGTTGAGATCGGGCACACGCGGAACGGGCGGCGATGGCACGATAGCCTTCTTAACAAGCGTCGCCGCACTCCCAAGCACGGGGCCCGGATTCCTCCAGCGTGCGGACTGAATCACCTCCTCGCCGCCGCCGATCCTGCTGCCTTGCGCCCCTGGCGATGGGTGGAGTCTCTTCCTCTTCGGCGTCACTTGGGGGGCCTTCGGTGGCGCCGGTCGAGGATACGACGAGGAAGGCCGCAACGGCCTTTCCTATGGGAAGTCCTCCAATCTCTCCGCGCGCTGCGCAATGTAATCCGGGATGACGACCACGTTGTACGTTCTCCGTGGGGCCGTCGCTGTCCGCAATCGCGGTTGGATCTCCTCCTCCTTGCTCGCGATCACCTGCGCAATGGACAGGAGCTCAAGGTGTACGAGCCTTAACAATCCCGGATCGATCATCTGGAGTTGGGCGAATGAGTAGAGCGCGACCGTCCCTTCCTTCTCCGCTGGCCTTGGCCACGTGATGACGTAGTAGACGAGGAAGTGCTCCCCGATGCAGTGGTCTTCGTGATCTACGAAGAACCGGAACATCCCCAGCGCCACCGACTTGTACAGCGCACGGTGCAACTCCCACGCGTCTTCGTCGGCGAAGGGCAACGGCTCCACGTCAGTTAGCTCTACCAAATACTCCGAGAACTCCCGCATGGGATAAGGGCCCTCCGTGAGCTGGTAGGGGAGGGTGGTGTAGGAGAAGAAGGGAGGCATTAAGTACGGGATAGGGGGAATAGCTTGAAAGTTGAGAGGAGCAGCGGGACGGAGAAGGGCAAGGAGCTGTGGCACCAACGCAATCGGTCCGTCCTCTGCCCTACGCAGCAGCACCTCGTGGGTTGTGAATCGGTGTCCCCCCCGTCCTTGCAACCTGGCCACTGATCTGGCCGCTTCCACCGCGTATTCGCGCACAAAGCTGCGCGCTCGATCCCGATTCGGCTGCCGTAGGATCGTCAAGTCTCCAAAGAAGGTGGCGACGCTGTGCACGAAATTGGGTGCCACCTGGAGCGCGCGGAACTCAATGAATACTCGGGTCGTCTCCCGGCCAGGCAACTGCGTCACGTCCACGTACACCCCCGCATACGTCAGCCGATCCAAAGCAACGAGTACGCCGCCAAATCCGCAACCCCGGGCGTCGGCACGTTCACCTGCTGAATGTCGTACCGCAACTGCGTCTCCTCATTGAATCGATGCCGCAACAGGCGATCTGCAAGCGGCATCTGGAAATGCTCGAGGGTCACATGCTCCGGCTGGCGATGGTTCATCCTGCTCCCTGAAACTCTCAGCACCAATGGACGAGGCAGATCGGGAAGAGGAGGAGGATGAGGATGAAGAAGGAGAAGGTGATCTCGTAGGAGCGGGGGTCCGTAGGGAACCTAGCGATGGCTGGAAAGGTCGGAGCGCGGCTGCGTGCCGTGTCAGCAGTCGGGCCTGGGAGTTGTGACGGGGAATCAGCTTCACGGAGTGCTGTCCCTGTGCGCCAACTTCCGTGACCTCGTAAATGCCTGTATAGCGCGGGTGGATCTTGGAGAATCGCGCAGATTTCTGTACTTGCATTAAGTCCCCAACTTTATAGCGGGGCAGTGGTCCTGCCGACGCGTGTCGATTCTCGTAGTCACGGATCTGCCGTTGATGGGTTCGATCTACGGCCTGCTGCCGACGACGAGCTAACGGGGGATAGGCCCTAGCCATTAAGTCCATGTAGTGGCGGGCTTTGTCTTGATTCTGGGCCCGTGTTGCTCTAACTTCCGTACCTACTAAGGGGGACAATTGCACCCGAGGGACACTATTGGTTCTCAGTTGAAAGGGGGACACCCCAATACTACCGTGTGGGGTAGCCTGATAAACGGCCAAAATGTGGTCGACAAGGACCGGCCAGGGTCGGATGTCTCCCGCAGTGATATTCCGTCTAAGGGCCATCTTAATCAGTCGGTTGGCATTCTTTACCAGGCCGTTGGCTTGAGGCCAATGCCCCGGCAAGTAGATAATCTTAACGTTCGCCCTGACTAGGTGACGTTCTACTTCACCTTGAAATTCCGACCCATTGTCCATGTGTACCTCTTCTACGTCTAGATGCATGCACATAAATTGATTTACGTACCAGGCTACTTCCTGCGAATTCCGGCTGGTCATCGGGTACGCCTCGATCCGTTTTGAAAAATGATCGACGACCACTAAAAGAACATTGAGTTCTCCCTGATCGACGGGCCCTCTCGGAACGTTGATATCCGTCGTATCGATGCTAACCCTTTGAAAGGGGCGCTCTACACGAGTGGGCACCATTGTCCGAGGCATCTATACCGGTGCCTTGTCCGCCGCGCAGGCCGGGCAATTCTGAACGATGTATTTCACATCTTACCGAATTCCCGACCAGTACCATCCGTTCTTTTCGATGGCTTTTTCCGTGTACTTGACCGCGAAATGGACCGCATCCTCCTCATGAGCGGCTCGTGTCCAATCGAACCTAGCAAGAGGGTGTGGAGCCGTCAACCAGCTAGACTCTCCGTCGTCATCGACCTTCCGTTTTTGTAACGTCGGGCCCTGGCATCGATAGTCCTACGCCCGCTCCGTGACTCTCCGCCGCTCGGCTTTGGTAAGTTCTGATAGCAAGTCGCTTGACAGTCTCCGTAGCAACAGGAGGTCCGTCCAGGCTTTTGGCCGGCGGGCACTTGGCGCAAATCCGTCGGCTGTTCTAGCGTCCAGATACCGCTTCTAGGTAGGGACTTGGTCCGTTCTACAGTTGGGACAGACCCACGTCTTTTCACTTCGGTACCTAACGCACTGTCCGTGAGATTTGACCGTATGACACTGACTACACTGTACCCATAAAAGAAAACTGGGCCCTCCCGGATGTGACCCTTCTTGGTCCGGGATCATAGGCAAGGTACAGAAGAAACAGGGACTTAGATGTGTTTCAGAGGATGAGTTGGGGCTAGACGAGAGAGCGAGGGAGTTGGATGAGGGCAGAGAGATAGCGTCGGCCATCTTCAATGAAACCTCCATTCCGGACTCAGGCGTCGTCCTTACACAGCACGTGCAGCTCCCCGTAGTGCGGTTTCGTCGCCGCGACTTCTGGCTTCCACGGAATGAGTCGCTCGTTGGTGGGACACTTGTTGGGCGGTAGAAGGCGCGGTAATCCATCAACAGCCATTTTGTCAAAACGGACATATTATATTTTTTGAACGAAATCAAAACTAACTTTTTTTTGCCAAAATCCAGCCGAAATTTTTTGCTCCTGGCGGTGAACGCCGGACCCCCTACATGTATCTGGTGTATGGTTAAGACCAGATACAAATTTTTTTTTTTTTTTTTTTTTTTTTTTTTTTTTTTTTTTTTT